TTCTTAACTATTGCAAGCAATATAGGTACTTCATTAAAGGAGGTTTAGTAAAAGACAAGACATTAGCTATGATAAAGCCAGATGGAGTTTCTGGTAACTACACTGATTGGATAAAGCAGGTTATTCTAGATTCTGGGTTTAAAATCTTCAGGAAATGATCACTCAACTCGACAAGAAAACAGCATCAAGATTTTATGCTGAACACTCATCAAAAAGCTTTTTCTCTGATCTTATCAGATACATGACAAGGTAACTTATTTTTCTTATCTTACATTGTTAATCCTTTACTGGAAAAACTACTCATAGGTTTAGTACATAACTTATCACGTGTTTTGTCTTATCATGTATTGTCAATTATTGTCTTGCTAAAGTACTTACAGGATCAATATATAACTAAGTTGCTTTGACTGCTTCCTTTTGGGTTGCAAGTATCAATTTTTCAACCAGTTCTTTCCCTCACATTATTGTTTTATTCAGTGGTCCAGTCGTGGTCATGGTGTTGGAGAAGGAAAATGCTGTTGCTGAGTGGCGTGCTTTAATTGGGCCAACTGATGCACAGAAGGCTAAGATATCTGATCCTCTGAGGTTCTATATGTTCTCATTGGTCTTTTGTGCAGTTTTCTTTAGATTTATAACCTTTACGAACTTCTTTAGCCAGACCAAACATTGCCCATTAAGTTAGATACATCCAACCATTCTGCTGTCTTGTGAGATGTGATCTCTCTCCTTTCTGTTTGTGATTCTTCTGTCATATTCATGTGGGTGAGACTTGTGTTTTTCTTTTTAACAGTTGGATTCAATGTTGATTATTGATTTTTTCTGATTTTAGCATTAGAGCTGTTTGTGGGCTGAATTTACAAAAGAATTGTGTTCATGGCTCAGATTCAACTCAATCAGCTACAAGAGAGATCTCATTTTTCTTCAAAGCAGTATCATCAGGTTAGTTCCTCTTCCTCTTTTTAAATCAACAAACTGATTTGCATATATAATATTTTCAGGTCTGGATATGATAAGTTTAGCTTAAAGTACCTGTTCTACTAATGTTTCTGCTAATTTATCCAGTAGATTGAATACAAGATAATGTTGCAGCCCTGAGCTGATGTATAAAATTGATGAGGGATGTCCATTGGTGAGGTCTAGAAGAACATGGATCTTTTTCATTTTCTTACAAAATATCTTCAAAATCTTTCAATTTCTTTTCTGTCAGGGTTTTCTAGTTGCTTTAGGATGCCTTGATTGCACTACCTGTTTATTCTTCTTCTAGCATTATCACTACTCTGGTTTGTTGCATTGAGCTACTCTGGCAATAGGATCCTTGGATTTCTTCTCACCTACAACTTTTTCCTTTACTAGTTTCGTTGGGGATGGTATTGGTGGGAATTTTCTTTCACCTTCACTAACCATGAATTTTGGAGAGTACTGATGCGTTCACAGAAAGCAAAGGAACATTCTTAGTTCACTTTTGACCGTATAAGAGATGACATGAGCTGTTTATAGTCTTAGATATATGGGGGGGTCTATAAATCTGTATGTTTGTTTTTCTTTCTAACAAAAATAAAATTTCATGAAAGTATCTGATTTTCTTTTTTTTTTTAAGATAAAAAATGTGAATATAAAGCAAGGCACTGAAGGGTAGCACCCATTGACAAAATGGAGATAATTACATATTGATCAAAATATCTCTAAGATCCCTTAAA